TTTTACCACCACTGGGAAACTATCTTTATATAACAACAAAATTATGCTATAATGTAACATGGTTTGTTCAAAATCCTTATATCTATAAAAATGAATTCCAAAATCGATGTTTGTTATCGCGTTGCGCAAAATCTACAGAATAAATCATTATGAAATTTTGCATGTAGGTAGCTGAAGATTTCGTTTAACATATAGGCTTTTCAAAAAACTAAAAAGGTTAATACGCTTTTTTTTTTTTAAATGTAAAACCAAAAAGTGTTAGTTCCAGCCTTTTACAAAGAATAATCAACCTCAACTTTTGCCGCAATCCTACATGCTAGGGCTAAAAAACATCCAAATAAACGGGCCCATGATACAACAAAATTTATTTTTGTGCCATGAACAATGATTTTTAAAGCCAACAATGATTTTCAGACAGGTTCAAATCAAAACGAAATCTAGACTAGAAGAATATGTGGAAACATTAAATGAAAGAATAACCCTTATTGACTTTATTTGAAAGGTGCAATGCTTGAAGAGTGCTTTGAAGCAACAAGGTATTAGAGCCATTTTTTCAAGTAAACATTGTGTTTTATAGATATGACACACTATTTTTTTTTTTTTGGATTTGGTCTTATTACCTTGTGATTGTGTTTTATAATATCATAAAGATGTTTTTAAAATATTTTATATCTTTCAATATATATTTAATAAAACATCATCTAGGATTTGTCTTGATTTTAAAGTGTATACTAATGATAAGAAGAACCTATCAACAAATAAATTATTTTATTATTCATTATTCTTCTTCTTTCTTATCTCAATCATATTAGGATATCAAGTTGTGACTCCTGATGGTGTCTGTTTGACAACCATCATGACTGGGTGAAGTAGAATGCGTCTGCCTTTGTCATTAAGACTGGGAGCACTACTCAGTGGCAGGCCGACTTAGCTCCAAAAGAAATGGCCGCCTCTGACATGAGGAACAGATGCCATGTGCAGCTGCTCCTAACATGGAGTACAAACACTGCTCATCCTGTATTCCTGGATTAGGAGCCCTTACAGGGTACTATCAGCCGGGCCAGCTGAACCCAGGTTTTTTATCGAGCTTGTTACTGCTCCCCCTCCTCCTTTTTCATCCGGGCTTGGGACCGGCAAAGGCAGAGTTATTATTCAGTATTAATGTAAAGAAATTGGTCAATTAAGGGAATTAAAATAAAGTGACCACTATTAAGAGGCAGCCTTTTCCTGTGTGTATGGCTGTCCTTTAATTATACGGTCTAAAAAATTTTAAAAGTAAAAAAATAGCTCAACCGTGGCTATAGTGAACCAAAAGCTCTGTCCCATTGGGGTTCACCATAGAGGGGTTTTACTGTATATATGTGAAGTTGTTTGGGCTAATTATTTGGGGTGTTGGTTTGAAGTAACTGAGTCCTTGTCTGACCTGTTTTCTTTTTTATCCAGTTTTATTATATTTTCCTAATCAATAGAACAGAGAGATACAATAAATAATAAAATAGAAAACAGCATGTACGTGCATAATGAAACAGATACTGTATTAATTTTTTTTTTTGCATCACTTTTAGGTCATGAAAGGCTCTGCATTACGGCAATTTACTCTTTAGAAAATATAGTAACAGATTCTCAGCACTTGACAAATGTAATGGTTTGTGATCCGCCACACTTAGAAACACACACACACAAAAACCTTTATTAAGACACACACACACAGGTCTTACAGAGGATTCTCCTTGGGGTTACAAGACGGAGAAACCTATGAAAGTGGGAAATATACAAAGGGGTAAAAATTTAGAAAGATTATATACACATGATAAATATATACAGATTATTATTTTTGAATGATCCTATGGAAAATAAGAATATGGATTTGGAAAAAAAAAAAATTGGAAATATGGATGGAAGAAGTGGAGAGCGAAAAGAGGAAAAAAAACAGGTACAGTCGAACTTGGATAATTCGAACCCCAAGGGACCATAAAAAAATTCGAATTATCCAAAAATTCGAATTAAAAACGTAAATTTTATTTATTTCAAATTCTAGGGACCAAGATAAATATTCGAATTAAAGAGGTTTTCGAATTAAAGAAGTTCGAATTATCCAAGTTCTACTGTATTTACATATGGAGCATACATATAATGGAACAAGTCAATTTAAGCTCTTCTGCTCACACAGCACAGGTGGACCATGGCTTTTTTCAAGAAATCTTTAAGAGATTTTCCAGGAAAATCAGAGTGTTCAGAGTTGTATGGTAAACACCGTTTTATCGGTGTGGGGGGTTAGCTTATCGTACCTGCCCAAACAAATAATTGGATATTGGCTCTGTCCTCATCATCAAACAGAAATTTTTGGTATGTTTGAATGCTCGGTTAAGTCTTTCTTTTTTACAGCATTTTTATAGAAGTTATATAGATTCAAAGCTACTGAGCTATTGTCTATAAAGTTGTATAATAAAGAATATAGTGTGAAGTGTGTATGGCCTATCTTAGAGAAAAGTATTTTTCTTTCCGTGTCAAGAGGCATGCATTCAAATATATAATGTTCTAAAATTCATTTTCAGTTCTATTTTTGCATAGTTGGCAATACAATTCTTCTGTCTTTAGATATTTTATCTGGTCTTCTCGATATAAAACAAATAGAATTCTCAATTGCGCAATGAGGCGTTTAGTCGGCAGTGGGAGTTCACTTAGTAGATAGTTCTCTGCTGCGAATGTTTTATGCAAATATTTGTAGTGTGTGTGCAGCTTCGAATTGGTTATTCTTGATTGATCAGTTTGAATAGACTGTTCTATAATGATTCTGATAATTTGAGGTATTGCTTTCTCTAGAATATTGGGGTCTGAACAGTTCTTTAACCACATGAATCCAGTTGAGTTTAGGATATTCATTAAATTTTCTGTAAAACCTATAAAGGTATTCGTTAGAGTGGAGGTTTCCCATAATTGGGCTAGACAGATTGCAGGCAATCTGGATTTTTCCATTTTTAATATTCTTAACCAGAACTTTAGAATTAGTTTGGTTGCTGTGACTCCTAGTGAGAAGCGTCCGGTTTCCATGCGTAGTATGTAGCCTGGTGTGTTACTCGGCAAGTTCAATAATCGTCAGAGATGCCACTTAGAAACCTCATCAATGAGATTAGTTTCTGCTGTGCTGCCTCTTGATCTTGAGGATATTTAGGTGCAGCTACTTTGTAATAAATGAGCATGACTTTATTCTCTACACCAGAGATGCTACTCCGTTTTAAGCTTGTGCACCTAATCTTTGAAAAGCTGTGTGTAGCCTCTGGAGTGACTGTCAACTTTGTGGATAGCCTTTGATGCTAACCCTCTTTGCATTACCAAATACAGTAAAACCCCGCTAATACAAACTCCGGATATAGTGAACCTTCCCTTATAACGAATCTAAGGCGATTCCATTCCATTGAAAATACCATCGTTATAACGAACTTTGCGATTTTTAACATAATGAACTACCCCTATAATGAACCCATTTAAGTCCCAAAATAATAAAATATATTTCAAATACTAGGCTTATAGCGAACTTAAAATTGTAAGAGGGGTTTTACTGTGGATATTTTCTAAAATCCTTTAGCTCTTCAAGTCTCTAAAGTGTCCTGAACTGTATCAAGAACACAGTCATTGCTCAGTCTATCTACCTGATGGGACTGCTAGATTGAGGTGGTTCAGGTTACTCATGGCCTATATATTTTATTTAAACTTATTTAATGGATCGCCTTTAGACTCAAACTATATATGATGGGTTGGATTATTGCTGCCAACATCTTAGTCCCACCATGCATCTTTAAGAGATCATCCTTGCTCGCTGCATGTGCAGATAGCATAATTCTGTGCTAGTAAACAAACCTGGTCTTTTAACTTTCTTGAGAAATCCTTACATCACCATCTGGAAGGATGACGCTGTTGGTCTTAAGGACATTGCAGGCAGTTTGAATTAGCCTGTTTTCTAGGGGAACAGACTTCTTTTCATGCTCCCACCACAAATATTTCTCCTGGCTGATTCTCTGGGGTTTGACATCTCTGACCTTACAGAAGAAGCCACCTCCTGTTCTGCTTGGCTTTCTTCACTTACAGTCTGAACTCCCCATGACAGGAGGTCAACAGACCACTGTGGCTGCTAGTCGATGTACAAGTTGAGTTTCTGTTATATGGCTATCGTTTTTACATTCTTTTTCAACCTCTTTATGTTAAAAAAAAAAAGGAATATCATTTATCACAGCGATGCAAACCTAAAACTCATTTATCTATGGCACAGAGTTATGTCGTTGTGCTGCATAGCTTTAAAGGGTATTCAAGAAGGAATTATTCACCCTTATTCACAACAGAAACACTTTATTGGTGACCAAGAAAATGTTTGAATGTACACGCATATAATTACCAGGGTTGTCTTTCAGACTCAAGTCTTTTTGATTTTATTTACAACTAGCCGAATGACCCGGGCAACGACCGGTTTTACCCGATTAAATGTTTTTATTTAAATACTTTTCGTTACAATTATAAATTGGCGGCGTGGATGTCACTCTTGTGAAACGTCCCGCTCCAAACTTTGTGTCTGAGAAGCGATATTTTTATAGAAAGATGATCTGGCTTTTGTTTTCTGCTCGAATGAATGTTTTTCTGTTAGAATTTTGTTCCTGCGTACAAAATAATGAGCTGGTTTCACCCGTGGTCTCTGCTTTTTGGAATATATTTTTCCCGATATAATTTTGTATCTGATAATCTTACATGATACAGCAATATCGTCATCATCATTTTCTGACTAATAATATATAGTTTTAATAATTGATTTATATATATTTTTTAAATAGCCTATCGTCTTCCCCGTATTTGTACCTATGTATGGAAATTTTGGTTTGAATTAGTGAACTACTGCGAATTTGTATACCGGACATACAAACCAACAAACAAACAAACAAACATACAAACATTCATTTTTATATATATAGAAGATATAATATAAATGAGTTTTAAAAATTGTTTTAAAAAAATGCATCGGCCGGGAATCGAGCCCTGGCCGCCCGCGTGGCAGGCGAGCATTCTACCACTGAACCACCGATGCTTTAAAAAAATGGCCATATTTAGGTATTCATTCCATTCCGGATTAGTCCGCGTAAAAAAAAGTTCTTCAAATGAAAAAAAGAAATAGCCAAAAATACTAATCAAAATGCAGCCGAAAATTTTCCTCAGGTTTATAAAAAGCCACATGCAAAATTTGGTACCAATTGGTTCAGTAGTTTTTGAGTTTATCGCGAAACAGACAGACAGACAGAAATTGACTTTTATATATATAGAGATGAGGGTAATAGTCCAAGATATTAGGGTTAAAGCAGATTTATTTCTAGGAAGATTTTCCTGTGATGTCAAGCTGAGATTGGGAATTACTAAGAGTTTCTGTCTGAAATCTTTAGTATTGGGGTGCTGGGTAGATGAAAAGAGAAAATTATCCACTTTTTGGTCATCATTCTGGCAATAAGGGGAATCAAGTCCTCTTTTAAAATTTTCTCATAATCTGTGTAAGATGGTTGTATAAGTGTACCCATGTTTGATTCTTGGTAGCATGGAGATCAAAAGTCTTGGAATGGCTGCAAATCTGAGATTCCTGGTTGAGTAATCCTTAGATAGATTCTGTTCAAGCTGAATTATTTAAAAGCAGGTGACACTTTTTTGAAGGATTGTGAGAGACTAGGGGTAAATTAAAATGTGCAGCAGACTTAGTTGCTTGGCCCTGCTAGTTCATTTCCTACAATACCGCTGTACCTTTGACCAAGCAGAGTTGTTTATTGAGTACATGATGTAATTGACAGATGATTTCTTCAACAAGGTGTGTTCTTGGGGACCAAGGAATCCTTATAGCAAAAAGATCTGATTGGCAGTCTGTGGCCATTTATAAGTTTTCATACGGGAAAATCTGGATGCCTTTGTCATGTAAAGAATATCCAAGAGTTCTGCTTGAAAGGCTGAACACTAGTGCTGGAGTTTAAGGGAAGGTAGAAAGAATACTCCAACTCCTTCTGTGTTCCATCAGTATATATGGTGGTAGAATTTTCTTGAAGAGATGTTGTAAAGTTTAATTACCAAGTTTAATTAACAATATATATTGTGTTAGTGAATAATTAATTATTTAATAAATATATAATAATAAATTATCACTGAGAGAGAGAGAGATTAAATAATCTGCTCATGAATCGAATTGACCCCACTGCTGTTTCATATACCTTGTTCATAATTATTATTGTGAACCATAACTCTAGCCACTCGGGACACCCCCATCACCTCAATTAACATCTACCTGGATCAGCGAGTAGTTGCAGTTTGCTCAGCCTACTGGCATGGTTATAGGTCAGAGGAGGATTTCCTTCCTCAGTTGGAAGAACTTATAAACAGGACCTCATTTCTTATGATCCTAGGTATGGATGTCAATACCCACTCTCCCACCTTGGGGTATCGGTGCAAAGTTGGACACCCATAGAGCAAACCTTGAAGACTTCGCCTGCTGCAACGACCTTCATTTTCTGGGTGATACTGTGATCCTTTACATGGTCAAATGGACATCTTTCCTCGTCCATTTTCCTCGTCCAGATGGACCAGTACAAGTACACCCGCTGCGCCAATGGACAGTACTTGATCAACCTCAAGAAGACCTGGGAGAAACTGCTGCTGGCTGCTCGTGCCATCGTCAGCATTGAAAACCCCGCTGATGTCTGCGTCATCTCTTCCCGTCCCCTGGGTCAGCGCGCAGTCCTCAAGTATGCCGCGCATACTGGAGCCACCCCCATTGCTGGTCGGTACACCCCCGGTACCTTCACCAATCATATCCAAGCCGCCTACCGGGAGCCCCGTCTCCTAGTGGTGACTGACCCCCGCGTGGACCACCAGCCCCTGACTGAGGCTTCCTATGTGAACATTCCGGTGATTGCTTTCTGCAACACGGACTCTCCCCTGACCTACGTGGATATTGCCATCCCCTGCAACAACAAGGCTCCCCATTCTATTGGACTGATGTGGTGGATGCTGGCCCGTGAAGTGCTGCGCCTGCGCGGTACCATCAGCCGCGAGCTCAAGTGGGACGTCATGGTGGACATGTTCTTCTACCGCGACCCAGATGATGTTACATTGTCATCCAGCTCATTAGTGATACATGCTTCTTGGAGCTTGCTTGAGGAATTGGCCTTCACCGACCACATCCTGATTTTGACAATCTTTCCAGACATGGTCACCACTGAGGAAACTACCATATGGGCGGAATCCTCACGCAAGTGCAAGACTGTTTCCAATCGTTCCTCAACTCATCTCTCCTTCAAGTTACTGCCCTCCTAGATATGGCTTCTACACCAGAAGACATTGACAAGACAGTTCCCCTACTTACTTCAATCCTACAGGCAGCCTGTGAGTCCTCCATGCGCAGACGTTCCAACACTTCTAGACAATCTAAACCATGGTGGACCCCCGAGCTGAGCCGGCTAAGAAAACTGGTAGTAACCCTCCGCTGAAGCAGCCAGAAAATCCAGAGCTCTATTAGGAACTTTTTCCATAGATTATATTGCCACGTGGAAAATTAGGGAAGACAAACTTCGGAATGACACAGCAATTTATTTTGGGTAAATACAAATTATGAATGATAAACAAAATATATGCAAAGAGGGAAGTTTACAGAGTAGCAAAATTGATCATCAAACATGATACTCTGTTAACAAAATAATAAATACTTTGCTACATAGCTCCTTCCCAATGAGAGCTTTAACCCACAACTTGCAATTATTTATAGTTACTGACGTGCTTCTGCCAAGAATTCCATCGAAGTCTTGGAAGTTTGTCCCTAGTACCTTTGCGTCCTTTGTCTTGCTGCGTGAAGAGCGGCTTTGTCGTCGTATCGTCTATAGGGACATCGTCATCATGGAGGGAAGTCTTGGCTTTGACACGGCGGTGGAATCCTGGAGCCAGTCTCGGAAAATGTAGATCACAGCACCCATGGCCTTGAGGTCTTTCCGGCGATCTTCAGTTTGCCTACCCTAATTTACCCATCATCTCCACCAAAATGCCACGTGGAAAATAGGAAAGACAAACTTTAGGATAATACAGCAATTTATTTAAGGCAAGAACAAACTATGAATAATAAACAAAATATATGCAAAAAGGGAAGTTTAGAGTAGCAAAATTTAAACATCAAAAATGTTACTCTGTTAATAAAATAAATACTTTGCTACAATATCGTGCGTGTCACAACAAGCTCAAGGCAGCTATCCGGAAAGCTAAACGCCACTCCTGGCTCAACCTCTGTGAGGAGGTTTTACCAGTGGCGTGGAGTGTCATTCACCGTTTTATCGCCCGAGGACGCAGCTCCCCAAGAGGTCCGCCTCTTCTCAAACATGATGATAGCTCTCCTTTCTCTCCCGAAGAGACCTGCCTCGCTGTGCTGAATCAATTTTTCCCTCAGGACATCAGACCTCATCCTCGGAAATTCGCTCATGCAATGTTTCCAGATCAACTCGACTTTACATCGTGGGAGGTCATAAGAGCCATACAGCGCTGTGGTAGAAGGAAAGCTCCAGGGCCAGATGGCCTTGGTTCCCTTTGCATATTTGAGGTTTATCGACTCCGCGGGATCTTGCCTTCATCTTCGAGGCGCAGCAAAGTCATTTTGCTTTCGAAAGTGCACGGTGGTCCGGGTCTACAGGCATTCCGGCCAATCATCCTACCAACGACCGACAGCGGCGTGCTCATGGGCCGTCTGCGTCGTCATCTGCCAGACCTCATACTTCAAAGTCAGACCTACGCCGTTCCAGGACGGTCTTCCTCCTGGAACATTGCGCAAGTGTCTGACAAAGTCGCCTGGGCGCGAGACATGACACGCCGCTGGCTGTCATCTCTTTGGACCTGAAGTCAGCCTTCGACAACCCTGAACAGGAGCTACCTGTTCGCCCTGCTGGAGAAGTTGGGCCTACCATCTACCTTTCTAGGGTGGATTTCTGTCCTCTACGGGGAAGCAGTGGCCTCCATCCGGGTCGGAGATGTCTACACCAAGGCCTTCTCACTTCTCAACGGGGTGAGGCAGGGATGCCATCACAGCGCCGCTTTCTTCAGCATCGGAGTTAGTCCTCTACTGCGCCGCCTCGAGAGGATCTTGGGCCGCGGCAGCGTGGTCGCCTATGCGGATGACATCGCACTCTTCATCAGGGACAACGTTCAGTTTGAGCTCGTGCCCCTGATTTTCGAAGAGTTCCGCATGTCCTCCGGGGTGGCTGTCAACTTCAGGAAGAGCTGAGGGCCCTGGTGCGGTGGCGCGCTTCATGTGGGATATGAGCCGAGTCTCGTGGCTTCCCGGGCGCATCCTGGCTCGTCCAGTCTCCGAGGGTGGCGTCGGCCTACTTGACATCGCGGGCCAGCTTCGGCTCGCCTGCCTGAAAGGGCTCCAGGCCTCACTTGCGTGGCGCCACCAACGGCTACTCTTGGTTGGTCCACAGCCGGGCGTGGCTGACACCGTCGGCTCCTGACGTCTGGCTCTCGCCTAGGAGGAGGAGACTTCTGAGCCTCTGGGAGGTCGCCTCAAGCGTCCTTGAGGTTTTTCAGCCCACTAGGCTGAGGTCCCTGTGTCTTCGAGGCGACAACAGATTCCTGCGGCCGCCAGACCTGCTGGCTCCCGAACGTTGAATACAGGCGACTCTCGGTGACTTCTCCGATGGCGCCCCTGCCCTAGCGCGCCCAACGCGGGCCGCGCTCCTGGACGCGCAGCACCTGGGGTCCTTCTGCCAGCGTCTCATGCAGGAAAAGCCAGCTCCAGATATTATGTGGAGTACGAGGCAGAGACCATCGTCCTGCGGGGATCGGCGACCTCCATTACCCATCTTACCAGGCAGAGGGCCCGCCGGGCATTGGACTCGGCACGGCTACAGGCACATCCTGCTGCAGAGCTGGCTGCCCGGTGGACCTCCACCGTGGATGTGCCTCGTTCCACCCCCCGAACGCGTTTCGGGCTGTTGACTCTCGTCAGCGTGGTGTAGACTGTACCTCTACGACCAAATTTCGGCCGCGTTCGTGGTTGACTTTTCTTGATTTATCAAG